TAGTAGTAGTAGTAGTAGTAGTAGCAGTAGTAGTAGTAGTAATAGGAGGAGGAGGAGGAGGAGGAGGAGGAGGAGGAGGAGGAGTAGGAGTAGGAGTAGGAGTAGGAGTAGGAGTTGGAGTAGGAGTAGGAGTAGGAGTAGTAGTAATGGTTAGTAGTAGCACTAGTAGTAGCAGAATCCCCTACCACCTGCTTCTGCTTCATTATTAGCTCTGGTGGGGTGGGCGGAGGGGGGGGACAATAACAAACATGGCAGCTTCAAACATGCATTATGCTAGCATTTTCGCTTGCGGTTAGAGGTCGATGGTGACATTGTTGTTGATGATGATGATGATGTGATGATGATGAGGATAACTGTTTCCTTGCTTGCTCTACAGGTTCTCAGGTTTGGCAGGCACGTTTGTCCTGCATACTGTTAACTGCTATGACCCTAGGGTGTTCAGATTGTAGAGGGTGGGGCACCTGCAAACTATTCCCTGATTGCCTGACGACATGCAGTTGGTAGGGGGAGGGTGTCCGCTGGCGCGAGAACCCGGATCCTGTGTGTAGGATGCAGACTCGAGAGCTTCGGGCTTCCGCTTCATTATGGGCTTGGGTTAAGGGTTAAGGGGTTTAGGCTCCTGTTTTAGATGCAGAATTTGGCTTCAAGGACTTGAGGTTTGGGGGGGTCTGCGGCTGCCTGTGTTGAGGGCTTTAGAGATGAAGGTGTCCTTCTCGCCCAGCCACCTTTCTGCTTGATGTCGAGGCGTTCGAAGATCTTTTGTAAAATCTTTTTGTCAATCTCCTGGGCTGGCTTCAATGCATTTCGCTGCCCTTAACCCTGAACCTGTCGCCGAACCCTAAACCCGACGCATTCTCAAAATTTAAACTATGTACTGGACTGCTCCGCAGCCTCTGGAACTATCTCGGTTACCCTGAACACCAAACCGACACCCTGAACCTCTAAACCCCTAAACCCCTAAACCCCTAAACCTGCTAACAGCGAAATCTGGACACCTGTTAGAAATTGGATTGCCTTGGTAGTCTTCATTTGGGAGTTTCCGAAAATTAGGGGTACCTTTTTGGGGGGTCCTTATAAAAAAGGATCCTACTATTTAGGGTACTGCATTAGGGTCCCCTATTTTCGGAAACTCCCGAATTGGATTGCCTTGGTAGTCTTCCTTTAATCGCACTATAACATACCTCGACCCTAAACCCTAAACCCTAAACCTTAAATCCCCATAACCGAAACCCTAAACCCTAAACCCAAACCCCTAAACCCTAAACCCTAAACCCTAGACCCAAACCCCTAAACCCAAACCCCTAACCCCTAAACCCAAACCCCTAAACCCTAAACCCCAACCCCTAAACCCTAAACCCTAAACCCTAAACCCCTAAACTCTAAACCCTAACCCCTAAACCCTAAACCCTACACCCCACACCCTCTTCGTTCGGGCCCCTACCTCTCCTCAAGCTTCCCAAAAACAGAAATATCCCTTAATTAAGGAATATTCCTTAAAGGGATCCTTAAAGGGATCTGGGTTTAGGCTTACGGGAGTCCAATATCCCCTAATTTCAGGAATATACCTTAAATTATGGTAGGATCCCTAACATGATTTAAGGAATATTCCTTAATTGAGGGATATTGGAGTCTCTGGGTTTCTTGAAACAATGTGCTGGGGTCGACTTAGAGGATCATGGGACTTAGTAACTAGGGTTCCTTAAGGGGTTCCTTTAATATGGGTTCCAATATGGGTTCTATATGGGGGAGTTTAGGTTACTTAGCGGATCACCTTTAAAAGGAACCCTAAACCTTACTTACCAAGTCCCATGAGCCTTTAAGTCGCCTAAACTCCCCCCTATAGACCCAGAATAGATTCCGTAAAGGGGCCCATTAAGGAAGCCCATGAGGAACCCTAGTTACTAAGTTCCTTTTGGGCCTTTAAGTAGGGCTTGGGGTTTCGTAGTTGGGGGGCTCCTGGCTCACTGTATGAAAGCGAGGACGAGAGGAACATAGTGCCATGCCTAAAGCCAAAGTCCAGGCTCTAAACCTGAACCCGAAACCTTAAACCCTAAAGCCTGGTCTGCATGGGTTTGTAAAAGGAATCGTCGCCGTCGACGGCCTAAACCCCAAACCCAAAACCCTTCGCGGTGTACAAGAGGAGACAGTCCATGTCAAGCCAGCAGCAGCATACATCGTCACCATCATCATCTTCCTCACCATCACCGTGATCATTATCTTCTTCTTCTTCTCCACCGTCAACATCAGCATTACTTTCATCACCATCAGCACGACCAGAACTATCATCCTAGAGGCAAAACTTGAATGATGCCGGACACAATTCAAATGGGTAGTTGCCGAAATTATGAGCCCTTTTTGGGCACCCTAAATAGTAGGTGCCGTATCATACCCTAAACCCTAAACAAGAAGGGACCATAGTTTTGCCAACCACCCAAATAAGCGATCGCAGGCTGCAGGAAGCACGCCTCAAGCCAAGCCCAAAGACGAAGCCAAGCGGCGAGATTGTGGTCGAGCTCCTGCGGGTTTGGGGTTTAGGGTTTAGGGTTTGGGGGTTTAGGGTTTAGGGTGCCAAGCAGCTAAGCCGAATCACAAAACCCTGAATTACATCCCTCAGCGCCAAAACCCTGAGCCCCAACACCCCAAAAGCCTTAAACCCTTGGGCCCAAGACCCCTGTACCCCAAACCGAAAAACCTCGGTGAAGCTTCACCGCAGACCCCCCTAACTACCCTTTACTATGCCTCAAAATACCCACCATGAAGAACCCTAAGGGCTCCATTAAGGGGCTCTTGGGGCGTCCTGGAAGGAACCCTTGACAAAAACCTTAACCCTAAGCCCCTTGAAGGAACCCTAAACCCTAAACGCCTTGAAGGAACCCTAAAAACCCGAAAACCCTAAACCCTTGAAGGAACCCTAAGCCCTAAACCCGAAAACCCCAAACCGTGAACCTTTGCGAACTCTGAGCTCCCCCGCTTCTGCACCGCTCCTGTGCTAAATTCAGCACATCGCTCTCCCTGACCTCAGCAAAGGTGTCGACGACCACAGCCTCGGTATCGCTCTGGGGTTCCGGGGTGTGCGGGTTCCTTCAAAAAGGGGTACCAGAAGGGTTCCGTTAAGGGATCTTTAAGGGTTCTAAAAGTTTAAGGGTATATATGGGGGGTTTCCTTTACAGGGTACCATAAGGGTTCCTTTAAGGAATCTTTAAGGGTTCCAAAAGGGTTTAGGGATCGGGGGTATTTCTGGGGGTTTCCACAAATTAGGGGTACCTTATTCTGGGTTTAGGGTTTAGGGCTGGCTTTAGATACTTGGGGGTTTCCGAAAATAGGGGATCCTAATATAGTTCCCTAAATAGTAGGATCCTTATTACAAGGACCCCAAAATAAGGTACCCCTGATTTTCGGAAACTCCCATATAGGAATTTAGGTGCAGGAAATGAGGGTTTAGGGTCTAGGGGTCTAGGGCGGAGGGGTTTAGGGCTTGGGGCTTGGGGTCAGGGTGTAGCGGTTTAGGACCTTAGTCAGAGTTTCAGGGGCTCGGATTCTCCCCACAAAGCAAAACAGGAAGAAGCTAAGGAGCAGCCAAGACACAGCTTCTACAGGGATTATAGATAACTGTAGTATTCATCCTGTCCGCAGGTCTATGCGGATTTTCTAGTAGAAACAGGTGCTTGCAGTGTGTCACAAACGCAAAACCATGTAAACCCTGAGCCCTCGAACTGGGGCTTTGGGTTCAAGGTTTAGTTCTCCTGGGTCGCAGCCTCAGAAGCCCCAACCCCCGAATCCTACTACGTTACTTGGAGGATCATGGGACTTAGTAAGTAAGTTATAACTGGGGTTATAAGTCCCGTAAGTGGGGTTATCATAATTATAACCCACTTATAACCTTACTTATTAAGTCCCATGATCCTCTAAGTAGGGTTTACCCTGAGCCCCGAATCCTGAACCTTCAACCCTGAGCCCTATGACGCGCGTCGCCGTCAGCGTCCCAGCGCATATCATCTAGGATACCCAGTAACCTAAGAATAAAAAGGCCTCTCTTTTTGGTATTGGGTAACTTTATAAGGAACCTAGGACTACAAAAAGGGAATAAGGGTACTACTGGGCATCCTAGTCATGCTGTTTCATGTCCACCAGCTGCAACTGCTGGGCCGGGTCCCATGCAGCGACCATCTCAGTGCCAGCAGACAACGTGGCCAATAAGTGACTCAGCGACAAGCGTCCGCTTCATCCACGAGGACCAAGCCCATAGTGCGCTGACGCAAATAACGACTTGCCGTCGTGCGCTCTCCAGCCATGCACTTCAGCCAAAAGGCGTGTGTGCATACACTTAGGCTTAAGTGGCTCTCGCGACTCTCGGGGTACTGTGCGGCTACTTTTGAGGCCGGCAGAAAACGCTGAGCCCTAAACCCAACCCCCTGAACGGCGCAAAGTCTGAACCCTGAACCCGCAACCTAAATCCAAACCTGAAACTCCATTCTAGTTTTTCCGAGATTGGGGTTTAGGGTTAGGGTTTGAAGATGAAGAATAATTCCACATCTTTCGTTTTCTGATGTTTTTCTGCGAGGTGCAGTACTCTGGCAAAGTCTGCGTAGGGAATCTCATGGAATCACTGCTTCAAACATACGCTCCCCTAAAATTTGAATTCGCACTTTAGGGTTTAGGATTTACGGGTTAGTGTACCTCAACCTACCAAAACCTACTTTTGTAGGTTCCTATTATAAAAGAGGCAGGTTTTGGTACGTTAAGGTATATAGTATAAGACTACGAGATGGCAGGAGAGGCATGAAAGAACTACCGATCTACCCCCAAGACAAGCCCGAACCCAACAAGCATCCCAACCAGGACCCTTTAAGGACGCTTTGATACAGCCCTAATGGGCCTACATAGCGGGGTATGTTAGAGGGTGGTTGTGGGGTCTAGCAACAGTTTAGGGCCTGGGGCTGAGGGGGAAAAATCCGCGAACATCTCTACCGTTGTCTCGATTCAGACACATTGACTGCAGCTTATTGCCGCCCAGGCGCAACGATCAGGTTTAAGACGCCGAAGACGAGCGTCAAAGAAGAGCCAACGAATATGAGGAATGTCTCGGGATGTCGATTGATCCTTAGCTATCAGATGAGCCCCTGTCAATATTACATATAAAGCCAAATAGACAAGGTTCCTTAGTATCGAAACTGAAGTTAATCAGCCCAATCCTGAACGGGCAGAAAAATGCCGACGCTATGCGGAAGCGTCATACAATAAAGGACCCCAGCACATACCCCAAAAATTAAGGGTTTCACTGTTTCACCTGGGCTTAGGACCAGGATGCCTTTGGCAATCCTCCTCCACCGCCTCAACCAAAGCAAGCCTTGAACCCCGACAGAAAAACCAAAACTTTGGGGTTTAGGGTTTAGGGGGTTTAGGGTTTAGGGTTCCTTTCAACGGATTGAAGTTTGAACCCCCAACCCTGAACCGCCATCATTCATAAACCCTAAACCCCGAGAAACAACGGCTAAACCCGAAACCCTCAAGATCCAACCCCAAACCCTGATCCAATTTACTTAACCTCTAAACCCCCAAATCCCAAAGCCCGTGCCCACCGGGTCACACAGGCACGGCAATCTGACCCCAGCTGTCTCCTGCGATTACCGTCTTGAACAGGAGCAGATTGGCGCCCATAACTGACCTCATATGAAACACAAAGAACCCCTTTACAGGTTCAAGGCATGTAGAGGGGGTATAAGCAAGGTTGCATTTAGGATGACCCTACTTTCGGCACCCGCAACCCCAACTATAGCCCTAATTAAGTAACCCTGCTTACTTATATAGACTTTTGGCCACTTGTCGGGTATCATGCGGAACTAATGGCTAACCTCTGTGGTTATATAGGGATTATATGGGGGCTATACTACCGCAAAATGGTTAAAGGTTACCTACTAGAGCTTACTTAGGCTCCGAGCCCAAAACCCCGAACCCCTAAACTTGAAACCCTAAACCCTGAACCGAGACTTCGCTGGAAACGGAGGGTACGGTCGAAGACGATGCTTTTCGAGTCTAGGGTTTCGGGTTGGGGGTTTAGGGCGTAGGGCAATGTAAGGGTTAGGACTTATGGGCTTACGGATCGGGCATCTGCAGGCTGACCTGTGGTCTTGCGATGCGCACAGGTCCAGAAAATGTGCCGCTGATCTGCTTGAGCAAGAACGCACATCGGGCAGCGAGGGAAAGGAGCGGGGACATCCCACCGCTTCGCAAACGCAGCAGGAGAAATGAAAGACCCAGTGATCAGAGCCGCTGCCACACCGTCCGTGCCTAGTGGTCCCGGTATGCCGAAGTCCCAAGCAGGAGCCGCCTCCCATTTTAAACGCGAGGGGGAGCTTTGGCGAAAAGGCCTCATTCTTGCACTTGGTGAAATAGACCATGGTTATCGTCGGGCTCCTTTGTGATCCATTGAACTGGTTGCTTGCAATACTCTGCGGTACCTTGTGCTAAGGGTCTGCCGAATATAGCGGCTTTGCCATTGTGTTGCTGCAGCTGTTTGGCCCCAACGTCCGTCACCTTGATGTAGCCTTCCAAAAGCGTGATCTGCTTCTCAGCCGTATCCACCGCGGTTTTCTTCCAACCGTAGCTGCTGTGAAGCTCCGAAGGGTCGATCAAGGCATGCAGCGCTTTCTGCGGCGAAGTGCATATGTGTTGCCCCCTCACGCTGTCCAAGAAAATGCCAGGCGCCGAGATACGGAAGACGCGCAACTGCAATTCAGTCGGCTTGTGAGTGCTCCGGGTCACTGGATTCTTGGGCAATTCCGGGATGTCTTTGACTACAGCCTGGATTTAGAGCTGCTGAAGACGAGGTACTCCCTTGTCAGAGCATACCGTGAAGTTGTGATGTTTGCAGCCTCCAGGATCTTCTCGAGTAAGAAGTGTGAAGCTACAATCTGTGCCATGTAGCGCCGCCAGTTGACGGCATTAGTTAGCAAAATCGACGGATCTGTATGGCCACTGCTCCCTCCGGTTTTTGACCTTTTTCAAGGACTTGTCGAAGGAGGTCGTCCGTCATGATCGCCTTGGGGCCCCATGACGAGGGCAGCAAGGAGAGAGGTTTCTTGCGAACCACCTGAATCCCAGGGCTTTTAGGAATATCACGAGCCGCACTGTCAGGAGGATTTGGCCTGCGCTCCTCCGTCGAACTCTAAGGGAGCTGGGCCTCCTTCGGAGGCTGGGGCTGTGCACTCTGTTTTCCTTTTCCCTTGTCCGGAACAGCCTCCGGTGCAGCTGGGACCTCCAGTGATAGCTTACCAGCATTGGCCGCATCAACAATGGAGGAGATGGATTGCAACAAGTTCTTGTGGGGAGATTTGCGATAGCGATCCAAAGACTGCTGCAAAGCTTCGCAGAACGACTTCTTGTGCCCCGCCTTTTTCTCTGCACTGGCCTGCCTTGCAGAAGTCCCACGGAAGCGAGACAGCACCTCAGAAATGGCCTGGAAAAGTGGTCAGGAGGCAGCTCCTCCTTCGCACTAGGGCCCTTGCCTCCGCCACGAAGCTCAAAGCAAAGCCCACTTGACCAGTCATGACACAGATCTGGCAGATCTGCAGCTTTCTGCTCAAGACGATCCTGCATGGCAAGAGTGGTCAACAATGCCCTAGTTGCAGCGCGCCTGGCTTTCCTGGCGCGTCTTCTTTTGGGCAAACAATGCAATCTGTGGGTCCAGCACTGACGGTGCCGGGCACGGCCCACACGGCATGCGACAATGGAAAGTTTCAAGCCAGGGATAACCAAGCATCTCATGCCTCGTACTTCCAAACCAGAAGTAGGCAGGGAAATCCAATCCGCCATGTTGTGTAACCACTGCAACATGCCCGCCCCTGCCGAGGATATCATCCAGGAGGCATCGCCACAGGGGCCCCAAAAAAGGTTAAAGGTTACCTACTCGACTACTAGGTTAGGCTTAGCGTCTTAGAGCTTATTTAGGCTCTAAACCAAAAACCCCGAACCCCTAAACTTGAAACTCTAAACCCTGAACCGAGACTTCGCTGGAAACGGAAGGTACAGTCGAAGACGATGCTTTTTCGAGTCTAGGTTTTTGGGTTTGGGGTTTAGGGCGTAGGGCAGTGTAGGGGTTGGGACTTATGGGCTGACGGATCGGGGCTTAATGCTCAGCCCAAGTGACTCTGTCGCCTGCAAGCAATCCCCGCAGTCTGCAAACACATCTGTTGTGAGATACATTTCTTTGACATGTGGATGGACTATCTCCACGATCATCATGGCCCAAATAGTCATTATCACAAAGCAGAAAAGGAAGGACCAAGCCAGGGCTTTCATACACGTCGTGAGCATGATGACCAGCTTCTGCAACTCTTTGAGAGAGCGGCTCTTCCGCAGCAGATTCATCAATCGCACAATTCCTGGGCTTTTGTGTAACCACGGAGAACAAAGTATAAACTTGTATTTCATAATGACATAATGGTTCCTTTAAGAAAAAAGTATCAAAGTATGGTACTCCAAAGCCCACCCAGATTCGGGCCAAGCGCAAGACACGGAGCGTGCCCAAAGAGTCTGCCAGGTCTCCTCCATATGCAAGTCTCAGCATCACCAACTCCACATAGCCACAGAGGACGATCACCAGATCGAGTACAACCATCCAGTCCCTCAGAGCTATGAGGCCTTTGACAGTCAATACCAGAAGCAGCTCGGCAGTGTAGCAATACAGACACATCTCTGACAGTGTCCCGACGATGGGCGGAGGTAGCCGCTCGGCAGCTCGGGCATCAATATCTGTCGCAGTAAGAAGTGCATCGATGAGGACCACAATGGCCATCATATTGGATATATAGTCGCGCTTGACCAGGAATGTGACTCTTGCTCGTATCTTGCCGAAAAGATGCAGGCCGCTGTGCTCCGATAGCTTGCTGTCACTCCTTAGCAAGTGCAGCGATAATTTCCGGCCCACGCGGTAGAATGATGTGTTGACCCTTTCAAGGAATGCAGCTGCTGAACAGGACTGGTGGCCCTAATTTGGAACAAGGTGCCCACCTTTCTCAGTTTATTGAAAGTCCCAAAAGGAGCCCACTATTTGTGTCGAGGAGTGAAGCAAACATAGTAGCAGCAGTGTTTCAAAACCCTGACAGACCCTTATAGACCCAGACCCTCCAAGCCCTTGACAATGTGATCTAAAAAACCGCACCCAAGTCTCTCCATCTTCTGGAAGTTGGCCAATGCCACGACGCTTCCACGCCTCTTCCCATTCCCCTCTCCAGATGCTGACATAGCATCGCTGTTCCTTGGTGGGAAAGAGTTTATAGAATGGCGGTACGACATATGTAGGGTAAAATTTGTTAAGGGCTTTAAGGTCAAGGGTTTGGGGTTTTATGATTTTGTGGGCTCTGCAATGAGTCTAGACGGTAAATGATGTACAAGGCTTCCAGAGCTTCCTTTCTCGCACCGATATTCCTACCGGCACTGCCAAGGCAACACCACTATATAGAGCAGAGCTGCTACTGTATAACCTCACTGGTTAAGATACCCCTAAACCCTAAACCCTAAACCCTAAACCCTAAACGCGTGAGTTGCTCCGAAGAAAGCACTTGTGGCTTCAGGCCGTCCTCCGCTAATCCGAAACCCCCAAGTCCTCATCTTTCTCATAGCAAGCACTTATAGATCCCTTACAGGAGCTCTTTAAAGGAACCCTAGGGTTTCTTCCTAGGTCCCGTGATGATCTAAGTATACCCTAAACCCTAAACCCTTAAAAGGGAAGCCTATTATAGACCCTAGATCCGAAAGCCCCAGACCAGAGACCCAGACCCTGAACCCTAAAACCTAGAACCCTAAACCGGAATGTAAACCCTAAGGCCCAACCAACCCTAAAACCTAGAACCCTAAACCCTAAAACCATGTAAACCCTAAAGCCCTAAGTTAATATAGCTATTACTATTATATACCCATTATATAGCCCATTATAGGCTAGGGGTCCCCATTAAGGGTCCCTCCTTCTCCCCTTTGAGAAGCCCAAGGCAAGCTGCAAAGTCATCGACCGTCGGGGCCCACTTGCAAACCCCGAGGTTGGCGACATGATTGGTGACACTGGTGAGTCCTCAAGAAGTGTGTAGTTGTCAAAATTAGGGTCCCTTTCTGGGTACCCTAAATATGAGGTGCAGTGTACCATAGTTTTGACAACCACCCAAGTGTTTTTTAGGGTTTAGGGCCAAGGGTTTAAGGATAATCAAGGGGCCTTAATAATTGGAACAGGGTTTTGGGGCCCATTATACTATAATCATACTGCGGAGTCCCCAAAATAGTATTGGAAATTATTCAAGCCCCTATATTAGGGTTGAGGGGCTAGGAATGAACCGAGATGATGTCTGGGCTTTTGGTTAAGGGATTAGGATGGATTACTTAGAGGATCATGGGATTTAGTAAGTAGGTTATAATTGGGGTTATAAGTCCCCTAAGTGGGGTTATCCTAATTATAACCTACTCATAACCTTACTTACTAAGATCTATGAGCCTTTAAGCAGACCCCAAACCCTAAACCCTTATTTCAGACCCTATAGTACCCTTTAACGGGAACCCTAAGCCCTTACTTACTAAGTCCCATTTTGAGCCTTTAAGTAGGCAATATCGGATTCTCTGAGGCTCCTATCTGCCTTTATGAATACGTACATCTAGGATACCCAGTAACCTAAGAATAAAAAGGCCTCTCTTTTTGGTATTGGGTAACTTTATAAGGAACCTAGGACTACAAAAAGGGAATAAGGGTACTACTGGGCATCCTAGACATCCAAGCGCAGTCAATTCGGGCATTCGAGTCTCTGTAACCCCGTGAACCACTAGGCCCTTAAGAAACCGCAGTATGTTGTAATATAGGATGCTTTTACACAAGAACCCTTAGGAAGAGTTTTGGGGTTTCAGGATTTAGTGGAAAGAATATAGTGGCTCAATAGTGAGAAGAAGGCTGTGGATGTGTGTGTTCTTGTGATTGTTGCAAGGGGGCTACAAGGGGATACTAGTACTAATTGTTCCGACCTCTATACCATATACCCCGAGCCCTAACCCTGCAGCCTCAACCCCCACCCGACATACTCAAAACACTAAAGAACGCAAAGCTAGAGTATCGACGTCTCGATTGGATCGTTCATTACCGGGGGACTTCCTTGGCTCGAGTGGTCAAAAGGAACCAAACAGTTTCAAGTTCTGCTTTGGGAGCCTGGCAGAGGCTGTTCAGTGTAGCACATCAGGCCCAGAGGGGTATACAAGGGTGTGATGATGCTTTATTAAGGGCTCCGTAGCACTGTATGCAGTATAGAGTAGATAACCTTACGAGCGCTGTGAAAAACAATCTCGAAGACCCTTATTGAATCCCACTGTTGATGATGTAAATCCTGCATTACCGAAAAAAAAAGAATATACCATCATTCCCATAATTTAGGGTCCTTAAGGTCATACAGGATTTTCATCATCAACCGTATGAAACCTCGAAACCAAAGCCCTAAACTCGCCATAACGGCACCCTTCTGCAGGTTTGTGTTGAAAAGGGCGCTGGGCCGCGGATAACGGTTTTGGGGTTTTTGTTTAAGGTTTTAGGGTTTAGGGGCTTGGGGGCGCTGGGGTTTAGGGCAAGCGGGGCAGGCCGAACAAAAACAAAGACTTGCGCGGAATCCTGAAGGGACCCCTTGAATTAACACTTAAACTAAGAAACCCACAGAATACAAGTTAAAAGCCAGCCCGAGCCTTTCAACCCACTTGAGGTGAAGTTCAGGACAGGCTTTCGGATGAAGCTAAGGACAGGCTTTCGATTATGGCTACACTTGCAGTAGGGCTGCTGGCATAGGCTTTGTTTTGAAGGGTTTAAGGCTTACCTCATATAGAGCAACGGAAATAAACTCTCGGCAAGACACACAAGGAGCCTAATATCTAATCTACATCGACCCCACCATCCTCATGAAAGCTCGTCATCCACCATCCAGATTGGGTACGGCCCCCACGTAATAGTTGAATAATGCTTAAAATAAAGACATATTCGGACCTTAAAAGTAGCCCTATTATAGACTCGGTGACTCTTACTTAAAGGCTCATGGGACTTAGTAAGTAAGGTTATAAGTAGGTTATAATTAGGATAACCCCACTTAGGGGACTTATAACCCAAATTATAACCTACTTACTAAGTCCCATGATCCTCTAAGTATGGGGGCAGTACCTAAACCATCCACCATCTTCCGGGCTCCCAAGGCTGGGGACCTCCCAGAAGCCACGGAGGATCTAGAAAGTAGATCCCGAGGGTTCCTTAAAGGGAAGGTAGATCCCCTAATTTGGGGCCCTATACTAAGGGTACTTTATAGGAGCCCCCATTAAGGGATCTACTTTTTGGATCCTCCCGGGGGTCTGGGAAAGCTTCCACATCAAACAGTAGAAACCCTCCAACCTTGAACCTCTAGCCGCAAACCTCAAAAATCCTGGAAGACCTCCAACCTTAAACCCTTTAGAATTACTGTTGATATAAATCCTGCATTACCTTTAAGGACCTTAAACTATGGGAGTTATGGTATATTCCTTATTATGGGTAGTGCAGGATTTATAATCCTCAACCGTGTCTCCTTAGCTTGCCCCCTTGAAACTTTGAACCCTTCGGGCTAGTCTATTTCAGCCCCCTACTGGCCCGTCCCTTAGGATTTGGGGCGCGAAGGTTTGGCAGCGATTTCGTGCCAACTCTGAAATCCCGAAATACGTCCAATCCATGCAAAACGAAACCCCTAAAGCTTGACACTTCATCCTCAATCTTCAGAGACTCCATGGTTAAAGGTTTAGGGTTTAGGGTTATCCCTTAATTAGGGAATATACCTTAAATCACAGTAGGATCCCTAATAGGATTTAAGGAATATTCCTCAATTGAGGGATATTGGCGTCTCTGGGCCCTACTTGGAGGGTCGGGGAACTTAGTAACTGGTTATTTTAGGGACTTATAAGTACCATAACCCCAATTAGGGTGTCCCTTTTAGGGTACTTATAGTCTACGTACTACCTACTTACGAAGTCCCTGAACCCTAAACCCTAAACCCTATAGTACCCCTATAGAGCCCCTTTAAAGGAGCCCCTACTTACTAAGTCCCCCGACCCTCCAAGTAAGCCCCTGAACCCCCAAAACCCCAAGACCCGGCGGCCGGAAGCTCCCCTTAATTAGGGAATATGCCTGAATGTATAAGGGGTTATAGTATCCTTAAGGGAGGGGGCTCTAAGGGGGGGTATATAGCCTAGTGATCCCTAACTCTCCCTACTCCCTAAGGTTCCCCTAAGGATTCCTTGTACCTTCCCCCCTTGAACCACCGCCCCTTAAGGATCCTCTATCTTAATTAGGGAATATGGGAGTTTGCGAAAATAGGGGACCCTAATGTAGCACCCTAAATAGTAGGATCCTTATTAATAGGGACCCCCCCAAAACAAGGTACCCCTAATTTTCGGAAACTCCCATATGCCTGAATGTATAAGGGGTTTAGGATTTAGGGTTTTAAGGGGCCTCAAATTATGGTTTAAGCTATATTCCTTGATTAAATTAAGAGCTATTCAGCTCTAAAAGACCTAAACCCTACAACCTGAAACCTACACCTCCAAACAAAACCTAAACCCCGAACCCTAACACCTAAATCCCCCCTAGAACACTAAGCCCCTATGAAGCGGCCAAGGCTCCGGACGCTTCGGGGAGTTGGTATCGGACCTTGGCTCGGCCAATCTGAAACCAAAAAGGGTTTAGGGTTTAGGGTTTAGGGGTTTAGGGTTTAGGGTCTAGGGGTTTAGGGTTTAAGGGTACTTCTGGGGATTTCCGGAGATGAGGGGAACCTTATTTAGGGTTAGGAGGACCACAAAAATAAGGTACCCCTAATTTTCGGAAACTCCCATGTAGGGTCTATCATAGGGATCCTTAGGGGTGTAGGGGGAGGGGGGGTAGGGGGCCTTAAGGCCCATAATAAGGACTAATAAGGCCTATTTAAGGAAATATAGTCCCCTACACCCCTCCCCCCTACACCCCTAAGGATCCCTATGAGTCTAGGGGTTTAGGGTGTAGGGTTCAGGGGTGGGGCTTCAGGGGGTTCAAGGTTGGGGCTTCAGGGTTTTGGGTTGAGGGGTCAAGCTGCAAAACCCTGACCCCAGAGACCCCAATACCCCTTAGTTAAGGAATATACCTTAAATCATATCAGGGATTCCTCCCATAATTTAAGGAGTATTTTCTTAATTAAGGGATATTGGACTCCCCTAAACCCTAAACCCTAGAGATCCCTTTAAGGATCCCTTTTAGGAACCGTTAGGGTATATTATATTCCTTAATTAAGGGATATTAGACTCTCCTAAACCCTAAACCCTATACATCCCTTATAGATCCCCTAAAGGGAACCCTAGGAATATTCCTTAATTCAGGGATCTTGGAGTCTCTGCGACAGCAACAGCGCTCAGATTCGGGCCGAGTTTTTTTCTGCTTCGGGCGGGGAGTTCCGCCACTCGATGCCTCCGAGTTCCTGGGCGGTTCGAGTTTTTTGTTTTTTTTGCGGGCCCTTTTCCGACTGCATTACCAGAGGGAATACCTTACCAGGTGGAGCCTATGGTAGGGGCCTCAGTGTGGGTTTTTTTGAGTTTGGGGTTCAGGGTTTAGGGTTGCTTAAAGCTGTTGGATGCGCTTTTTCGCAGAATTCCGGGAGGATCCAAAAAGTAGATCCCTTAATGGGGGGTTCCTATAAAGTACCCTTTGTAGTATAGGGCCACAGATTAGGGGATCTACTTTCTGGATCCTCCCGCGGGTCTGGGTTTGTGATTTTACTACATGCAGGGATGTCTTGAGGGTGTTTTGGTGTTCCAGCGGTTCTCGGAGCTGTTTAAAGTTAAAAGTGCTTTCGTGCTTGGGAGACGCAGGATTTGTGGGTTTCACGGGTTGGGATGTTGGGGAGTTTCGGCTTCGGTGTATGGGTCAGGAACTTAACGTTTAGGATCCAAGATGTATAATATAGGGGCCTTAAGAATTAGAATAGGGTTTTGGGGCCCAATATGCTGTAATTATACTGGTATGGGTAATTATTCAGGCCCCTATGG